TCCCCGGGTTAGAATTATTTGGCATTTTCCAAAAGTAGAGATTTGACCTGAAGAGTCTTGCCAAGAGAAAATAAATATTTAAGATTAGGGGGTTTTTTTAAAGGGAAATTAGTAAACATCATCACAGGACCTGATATAGTGAAATACTTAGTTGTGGATGGTGAGCCAAGGTAGTCCCATGTGGAATTAGGCAGTAAGTGGCACAGAATTTTGTGAAATTTAATTTTATTGAGACCAAAAGGTCTTGGTTGTAATAGAGATTATAATTTGAATCTTTAGTTGTTTGTCAGACTTCACCTTTCAGTTATTCTTTCTGATGGTTTCTTCATATATCTGTTATCGAACAGATTTAAATGATTCTATTCTATTCTAGTTTCTATTAAAAAATCCAGTGTGGCTTAAGGTTTGAATTCTACAGGTAGGTAGATAATTTTCACAAATAATTTTAATTTGGTTTTGCTTTTTGGAGGAGGCTTATCCTCTAGCAATAACTTACTGAGTTGAAGCGTAAGTGCAAAGTCCCAGTGGTTGGTGACACTGCTGGCTAAAAATGTTCCTGTCCTGAGCTTCAGTTGCTCCACTGCCACAGGAGCAAAGCTCAGCTATGTGGTGATTTGGCTGCAAAAAGCACCCCCCCCAATATTTATTTTTTAAATAAATGATCGTGGTGGTTTTTTCTTGTTTGTTTGTTAAAACTCGTCTGTTTATCTCCCCAGTGTGACACTCCTTGGTCCCTGCTGCACAGATGTTTTATGGCAGCATTTATGTGGAATCATGTCTTGGAGTCAGTCTTGGATGTTTTACCAGGGAGGCCAAAGAATGAAAAAAAAAATTATACTGAGCATATAGGTTGAGATAAGAAATAATCAGTACATAATTTAATGCAGTTTGGGTTTACTGGTGCTGCTCCTGGTTTGTGGTTATATGGAACATTTATTTCCGAGCAGTTTTGCTGAAGTTGTTAACATGCAACTTGCAAACTTCTGGTGAGTGTGTTAAGACAGTTTCTCTTGGTTTTATGTGTGTGTGTTTTCTTATTTCAAAAGCAAGCACTCAAAAGATACCTCCTGGGTCATCTGAAAGATGCTGTACATCAGAGTAGTTAATGCTGCATATATAAGCACAGCTATGTCTCTCTATTGCAGTGTTTTCTAAATCTTTTTTTTTTTTTTAAATTTATTTTGAAGCAAATTTCTGCTAGAAAATGTAGTTCCCCTCCTGTTGTTATTTTTAGCCCAGATTATTTAAATAATGCAATTTTTTTTTTCTTGCCATGTGACAGTCAAAAGTTGACAAATGGAGAGTGGAAGAATAATGCAACTGCTCTCCAAATACATTATTTTTGTAAAGTACTTAGTGTTTGGTACAAAAAACCCCCACCACACAAAAAGGTGGTAAATAAGAGATTATGCATGTTTTATGAACAATCAATTTTTTTTCTAGCAGTCATCAATAAACCACTGATACAGTTCTGTAACACCTGGCCTTGTCAAGATGATCAGAATGAGAACTTTGATTTCTTGATATGTTGACCACTTGGTTAATGGTGCTGTTGGACCAAACACTCTCCCTGGTCACACGAAGAAGGAACTTGGAACAGAAAGCTTGTTCAGAATGAAATGGTAACAGCAGTTACCCCTCACTTCACAGACTTTTGGTGCACATTAGTGTGATTGTGACTGGTAACAAAAATCCTGGAGGTTGCAGAAGGGGAGGGGGATTAGAGGCAAACCCCGACCAGTACTAATTCCCATGCTTTTGGAAAATGCCAAATAATTCAAGCCAGCAGGAGGGAATCTGGTGTGAAACTTGTACTTGATTGAATAATTCTGCTTTCATCTCACTTTGTGTTACTGTTTAGTCGAGGCCTTTTGTTACACTTATTTGACTTTTGGGACTTTTGAAGCTGTTTTCAGGCTCTGAGGAAATGTTATCAGTAATAAAAGAGCCCTATTTAAGTATATTAATCGCTTTGATAAGCACTTATGTTAGAAATTTAATCTGAAGATATATCTTATTAGGATGAATTTAATTCCTCCTAAAAGCTTTATTATTTTAAATAGCAAAATTTTGTTTTCTGTGTGCTACCAGTGGTGTTTTTCTTGGTTTCATGAACTGATTTATTCTTAAAGCTTATTTGTGGTTTAAAAAATAAAGAAAAACACCCCTTTCAACTTATCAGACAGATCCTAATCTCAAATAAGAGCTACTTTGCATCTACAGTGTTGTACATCAATACACAGCACACCAAATTCTCACATGAAAGCTATTTTTTCTTGTAGTAATACCAGATCTGTTGAAAGTCTTTAGCAAACCAATGAATTATATTTATTTTAGCCTTTTCATAAGAATTTCCTTTCAAAATAGTAAATCCTTTAGTTTGAATTTTTATTCTGTTCCACGAAAATATATTGTGTGGATCTGTAACTTATGAAGGAAATATTGTCATAATATTGAAATATTAGATATTATGTCCAATTTTTATCAAAGAACAGACCCATGTCCATGTGCTTCTGTATATCTGCACTGTGTGCACATATAATGAGATTTTTAGCATCTCAGCAATGGGGTGTCCCTGTGGGACATTTTGAGTTGTATTCTTGAGTTGTAAAAATTTTATATCCCAAAAGCACAAGAGGATGTTTGGGGACAGAGGCCACTGCAGGCTGCTGTTGGAGCTGTTAGGTTTCTTTTACTCATTGACAGGTCAAGCTGAGTTAATGTTGGAGGTGGTGGCACTGGAGGTGACTTCTCTTCATAAACCAAAGGGAGCTTTGCCTGCTTTTTTCACTCTCATCTCTGTTCCTCATCCATCACACGCTGGGAGTTATCACCGGTGGCTTTATTTGGTGGTGACCCTTTGGAGTCCATATTATTGAAGAGATTCCTTAGAAGATTTTATCACTTAAGCCTTGCAGTTTATTTTTATTGATTGAAATTTTATTTATTTTTTTATTATTATTTTTTATTACTTAAGCCTTGAGCAGTGGAGTTGTCAGCTGACACGCTGTGCTGCATTGCAAATTCCTGAACTAATGAATTCCTACCTGAATAGAACATTTGAAAGAAATTTGTGTTGAACAAGACTTTTGTCAGGAAACAACAACAAAAGTCTTCCCCAGAACGAAATTGTTTGAATATTTTCCTTCTTATTTATTTGCTTTAGATCAGGCTCAGTAATGCATACATGTGAAAGGATTTACTGTTCTAAATTATGAATAAAAGCTGCTTTGAAGACTTGTTGTTTAATTATAAAATCAGTGACCAAAATGTTATCAACTGTATTTCTGAAGTGTAGAAATTTTTAGATAAACCAAAAGGGTCCCCCTTGGCCCCTTGTGTTAATCCCTTTGTGGAAATGATCCTGAAACAGTAATTGCTAAAGCCTGGCAGAGAATTTATAATAGGAAAACAAATTAAATGTCAACAATTACGAAAGTGACTCTAAATTTTGACCCTACATTTGAAGTGTTGCATAACTGTAATAACATATTGTCTGTGAATAGCAGGGAGGACTATAAATCATCCTGAGGTGTCTGTATGATGTGTAGAATTCGAGATAGCCATAGAGCCAGCTGACAATGGCATTTTTGTTCCTCTAAAATATGTTAATCAGGTTAGGGATAAAAGAATGTAAAACGTGTCATTCTGAGCTATTTGTAACCGCTTAACTTCTGTGGGAGTCACTTCTGCAGAAAACATGCAGTTATATTCTGCAAAAGATGGGTTTGTGTTTTCTTTATGTGTCTTTTGTGCTGTGTTTCAAAGGGAACACAACAGATGGGGGGTTGTTTTTGAGACAACTCAGCATGTAAACCTTGAGTGTTGTGAAAGGATGTGTTATTGAAAGACTTTAGCACGGAGGGGTTGTTTTTTTTCAGTCTAAAGTTGCATTAGGATAATATTTTTTTATTGTGCTTTTGGGGATCAAGGTATTAGTATAGTAAATAATCTTCTTTGTCAAACATATCTAAATATGTAGCTCTAGCTTGCATGCTGTGCTTCTTACTTCAGGAGGAACCCAGAATTGATTGTGGCTGTCTGCCAGGCCAGCAGTTTGTCTCTCCTTGTGGAAAGAGCGTCTTTTGCTGGCATAAAATGGGATTATCTCATTTTCAGGAGCCAGCTCCACCTTTACCTTTATGCCATTGCCAGGAGTCAGCTCCAGTTCCTTAATTATTCCCTTTTGTCTTTAACAATTATCCTGTATGAAGAACGTGTCCTTAAAGACATTCAGCAAAAATCCTGTGACTTTTATATTGACTGTGCTCAATGTTTGCTGCCACAAGCAGATGTGATGTCTGTGGTGTAGGGACATGTGCACACACAGGCACCTACGCTGGGATATTGGGAATGGGAAGGGAATTCTTCTCCAGCTGTTGCTGGCCTGGCATGGCTGATGTGGCTGTGCTGGCATCCTCCACAGAATGCACTTTTAAAAGCACAACCATCTAAGCACAGATAACAGACCACTGAAAATACATATATTAGTTTGTAATTTCTTACAAGATGATGCTAATTCCATGTAGTTGGTTTTCTCCTCAGATATGCTGCAATAAATGTTTAGAATCAGTGGAAATAACTTTACAGGGAGGAATTGTATGAAATGTCATATGAATAAGGATATTTAAGATAAAACTGAATTTGTTTTAAGATAACAGTCTGTAACTATTTTTATAGCAGAGGATAACATAAAAACATAAATAGACTTTAGAGTTCAAGCCAAGTTTGCCAATCTGCCTTGATATTAAATGCAAGACATTTTGTGTAGCCAAGTGAGCCTTGTGTCGCTTTTAGAAAATATCTGTTGCTTTCAGAGCACTTTGGATGCAGAAATGTTAAGAAAAGGCACTTAAGTAAATCACTATGTGCTTTACCTTTTCTCTGGGTGTCGTTTAACTGCTGGTTTGAGATAACCAGAAGGTGGAAGAGCTCAGTGGGCTGTCTCATGAACTGTTCTTAATGAGCATTATGTTATTTTCCCCTCTAATTTTTTCCAGGCTGTTCAGTTAACCCCCAGACGATGGCTGAACCTGCAGGAGTACCAAAGCAAAAAAATAATGGCAGACCATGGGGTTACAGTTCAGAGATTCTTTGTAGCTGATTCTGCAAATGATGCCCTGGAGGCTGCTCAGAGACTAAGTAAGTTGACTGATAATGGGAGGAATCTGCTTCACTGGATGGCAATCTGGGAAATAAAATTGCTTTCTAATAAGTTGTACACTTAAGTCTTTAAATTGATGCTTATTGAAAAGGTTTGATATTTTATCCAGACCATAAATATATGCTAAAGTTTATATGTGAAAAATAGTTTATAACAGCAGTACTTAGAACTTTATTCCTCAAATGTTTTGTATGCAGCATGTCACATGGAGTCTTTAATTAACATTTTTTATGTAATTAAGAATAATTCAGAATATGGTTACTGAGGAACATTTGCTGTTGTGCACTTCATGTAATTTAAGGAACTGAAATAAATGACTTTGTGTAAAAAGTTGTTTTCTAACAAAAATTTGCTCTATTAAAAAGCAAAGGAAGAAAAAGGTCGGGGACCCTCCAAAAAAAAAAAAAAATTAAAATATATTTAGAACCCAGGTGGACACAGTCTGCTTTAGATGACCCTGCCTTGAGCTGATGGGTTGGATTAGGTGTCCCCCCAGAGGTTCTTGCAGCCTCAACTCTTCTGTGATTCTGTGAAGAAATAAAATATGTACAAGAGAATTTTATACTTGGATATTTGTGCACGTGTGTGTGTGTGTCCATATGAAGAGATTAAAAAAAAAAAAAAGGTGAGTTGAGTTGCCTACCATCACAGAAGGACTTGACAGTGGCTTGGGGAGAAAACCTACTTCTGGTACTGCATTTTGGTTCTCTAACAACATCCTCATTTCAGTGTGATGAACATATGATAATGTGGGTCAGAAATGAATTTATGTAATACCTTTTCTCTCAAAAAGAAATGCCTTGAGGTACTTTGTCACCCTGTTCTGACTCTGAAATAATTTTCCTACTTTTTAAAGTTGAGCAGTTTGCATAGTTTTCCTCTTTTCATTTAGCCTTTGTTAATATATGAAACATCAAAATGCCAGGGGCCAGACATTGTTGTAGTCTAATTGTGTAGTAACAGGAAGGCTTTTTTGGTTTATGCTTTGCATAATGCACAGGCCACTTGGTTAAATGCATTTCAGTTTTGCACACTGGAAGGTAAACTAACACAACTTCCTCATATCAAAGATCTCATCAGAGCTCAAGTAGCATTACCATAATGGTTTGCTCAATCTCTAGAAATTCATTAAGGTGGTACATTTTTCAGTGATCAAAACCGTCTTGTAACAATCAGTGTATTTGAAAATATACTTGAAACAAAAAAATAAATGCAGCTGTTATGGTCATTTGGCAAAACAGAATGGAAAAGTTGGACATAAAGCAGAGCACATAAAATTGCAGTGTTCCCTCGTGTCTGGATGTCTGAGAAAATCAAGAATTGCTGACTGAAGCTGTGGCAGGTTTATCACCAATCTCACAGCACTTAAACTCTCCTTGTGATTGAACTCATAAATGGATTCGTCTGTCCAATAATTATTCTTGATCTCTATAACTATTTGGAGAAATAAATTACTCCATTAAAGACATGAACCTCCTTTGGTTTATGATGCGAAATTTATTTTAAGTAACCTCTGTAGCTTGCTTACTTTTCAAATCACAGAAGTATCAGTTAATTTAAAAAAAAATCCAAACTATATTTAAATTTAAATAATCAAAAGTAAAATACGAACTCAAGAAATATTTGCCAATGAAACTTCACCAGATAAGTTGTGTTTTAACTGGGTTGGCTTGTTAACGCTTCAGAAATGGTAAGTCAGTGGTACCTTTCTTCTTGTGATGTAGCTTCATTCAGCCACTCTGGAGTACTGAGTGTTAAAGAATTGTGGTTTCTGGTGTGGCATCTGTTTTATGTTGAAATGATTGACACTCCATTGATCCACTAAGTAATCAACACCATCCCTGTAATCATTCTGATAGTGTGCTGTTGTCGTACTTCTAACATGCACTTTGAAGGCTAAGCATCAAGAACACCAGTTTTGTTACTGTTGGTCATTGTTGTTCCAAGATTTAATCTTCTTTGTGATCCCTCAGAGCAGCAGTGTCTCTGTCACTCAGGTTTATCTGCACAATTTGCAGCTGAGTATGCAGCCACAAAAAGGTCAGGGTTATGGGAAAGCAAAAAGCTTCGACCTACAGGAGGCAGAAAATATTACAAAATAGAATAACCAGTGAAGGCAGCTTGGGGATGTTGTTGATAGCCAAGCATTCCGCAGTAAATCTGGTGGGAGGCCAATCACCCCTGCCAAGTCCTGCTCCAAAATCTGATGGTTTAGGTACTGGGTGCCACATTGCAGCTGTCCTTAACTTTCTGCACTTCAAAACAAGAAGAGATGCTTGCCAACATATTTTAAAGATAAAAATAAGATGAAGTTATCAAAACTTGAAAGTCAAAGGTTCAGTATTTTTCTTATGAAAGGAAATGCTTTCCATAAATCTGTCATCATGAATACAGGAGGAACAAGAACTTTCCTTTATTGCCTTACAGCATCACATCACTCACATGGGTCTGTGCCTGTGATAAAGGGATGCAGATAAGGGGGTAGAAAATTTCTGCCATGGAAGTTTGTACAAAGTGTGGGATTCACAATTTAATTTCACGATTTCACCCAGTATTTTATGCTTGCCAGAGCTGTCTGTTCTGCTGCAGGCCTGTGCTCACCAGTTTTGCTATTGTTGGATTTCCTGTTGATGCAATGGAAAGAGATGCGATTAGATAATTTTTGCTGCTGTCTTCACTTGTCAGGAAGGTGTTAATGCATGTGTTCTTGAAAGGGTTTGCCTTTATCCAGTATCAGCAGTTTTGTTACACTTTGCTCATTTCCTCTGTTCCTCTCTATTTTATTAATATGTACACTGAATGTTAATTTTCTCCAAGACTTTCAAAACTTACCAACAGCACAAAAAGCATTCTACAAGGAATTTTTAATGGAATTAAAGGATTGATTTTTATTTTTTTTCCCCTTCTAAGATAAGAATGGCAGATGTGGAGAAAATTAAAATGACATCACTAATATTGACTTCAAAAGAAGTTGTACACAATCAAGAATACAGAATTAAGCCCCAAGGAATTCATTGCCTTCTACATTCTAAGCAATTTTCAGGTGTAACTCTTATAGAGGAGGAAATATTTACAGAATACCAAGCAATGCAGTCACAGTAGTTTTCTGGTATATGTAAAAATTCCTTGGTTTTCAAGAGAGGAAAGAAAAAGGCATTGTGCTGTTTTGCTGCAATAGAGTGATGCTGTTTGATCTGCTCTCTGCAGAAACTCAACCTGTAAAGAGGTTCTTAGAGTTCCAGTGCAGCTATTTAATAGAACAAAGTGAAATATCTGGGAGCTGAGGTTTCGTCTGAAATGTAAGATGTTTCTGTATTAACTCACAAGTCTTCTGATCTGACCGTCGCTTCATTTAGGCCGTGTTGAGCCACTTTCCATTTCTTTTCCTCATACTGTAGGACATATATAAGGCAAAAAAATCCTTTCATCTACCTGCAGTGTGAGGGTGTGTGCATTGCCATTGCTTGTGCTGTGCATCATTTCAGGGTCCATCATTTTCTCTGGGCTCCTGCAGCAGGAGCCCTTCAATCTCCTTCAGCTCCTGCACCGCTCTTTGTGTGCTGCCTGATGGAGGAGTTGTTAAGGGACCCATCATTTTAAACTGGTAGGTGGACGAAGCTGAGAGGGTTGTAATTATGCTGGAGGGTGTTACTATGCACTGTCAATTGGCTCTTTGAATCAGCAGAGAACTTACAGAGGTGGTTGGCAATGCTGACAGTCCTAAATCGATGCTGGAAGCTTGGCATGTGTTTCTTTTTCTGATTTTTAACAAAAGCAATAGAGTGCTGCCTGTTGCCACTTAGAGTGTTTCATTACATTTAGGAATCAGTCAGGTGCAGTGTTCACACTCTATCACAGAGAAATGCAATTGAATTGAGTGCAGGGTTTTTATTCACTCTTCTTTAAAGAAAATATAACAAAATATAGCCTCTGCGTGTCCTATTTCTATTGCTTATGCATGAGGGAACTCATAAAATTCAGCTTTGGACTGAAGGCATGCTTTTTATATCAGGCTGGAGAGGTAAACATGTATTTTATAAAGAACAGAAAAGGTTTATTGAGGCATCTTTTCATGAGGTCATTTACCTGTCACCTATTATTCACCATTTTTTAGAATATTGGAAGAGTTCTCAGTCATGTGAGCACCAGGCTCCTTCCTATCTCAGCTGCTGATGTGTTTTTTTTCTTCCTGTGGCTGTTTTAATTCAAGGGAAAGCTGCATTTTTAGATGCTGTTTTTGATCCCTTATCTGAAAGCTCATCTCTCCAGTACAAGTTGCGATAACTTGAAAGCAATTTATGTTTAGAAGGGATCAAAAGTTGACCTTTAGCTTGGTAGTGTCCTTTTTGTGTAGATTATGAAGAAATTGTTGGTGATAATGCTGTCTGCATTTAATCTAAACTTTTATGTTAGGGAAATTAAAAAGATCCTTGAACCTGACATTTCTGAGGATATTAGAAATATGAATTCAGGTTCTTTTATGTTATACCAGGAAGTATAAGCTTTTCTGTATCATGTACAGAATAGCCCTTGATAGTTTTATCTGAGCGACTTGGCTACTTAGCTGATCTTTTTGACTGTCCTCATGTGCTTTGCTTACATGATTTAATTCCCTTTCTGTTTCTTTCCATCAGCATAGATAGGACAAGAATTCCTTCCTTCAGCATTTCTAAGATTTCCATGTTTCTTTCCATTGCGTGATTCACTGCGTAGTAATAATTTCTCACCTGTGCATAATGAGTTATTTCTAAAAAAAACCCTGTGTGCTTAGTGGTAATAAGGACCTATTTTTTAGAGCCCCTCACATTGTGCTTCTCTGCATATGTTGAAAAATCACGTGTTGTTGAAATAGAATTCCGTGGAGCTGTACACAGAGAACTTGCTCGCTGTTGAGGAACAGCTCTCCCATAAGTCCTCTTATTTTCTCTGACAGCTTTTATTAGACTCCCTTGTACTTAAATTATAGCTTTCTGAAACT